TTTCAAAAAAATAGCACCTGAATATGATAAATTTATATATTCAAAAAAATCGGTCTGAAAAATCCAATATCACCATTTTCCTAATTCCTCCTTGTTTTGACCGGAACCGATGCGACCGATAGAAGGGAGCATTTACCCAAGGAATACCAAATTATTAAATCGATCCTATATTATAATTTTTTTTCCTGATCTTATCCCATGCTATCCGACATCATCCGATGCTATCCGATGCTATCCGACGGCTATCCGACGGCCGGGGTGACATTTCGATGCCTTGTAACGGGTCACGATTTCTATCCGACGATTATTCGATAATGATCCACGATAATTATCCAATAATTATTCGACCTCTATTTGACAACCCTGAATATACGATTAATTCGATCCTGTCCACCAATGATTCCGCCCAATTTGAAATGTTCTATCCATCTGACGACGAGCCTAATTTCCGTGGAAATACGGATTATATAATAGGGAAATTTCAATAAATATTTAATTGCGCGGAAAGAAAAAATATATACAAAAATAATTATATATTTCATATATAATTAATATAGGAAATATAAAGAAATCCCTTGACGTGGGGGGGGTCATATATCGGCCTTCCTGGAAGGAATTGGTATAATTTTCTTCCATTAAATTATAATATTTATATAAAATAAACATAAAATTATATAAAATATCCCGATTTCTAGAATATATATATATATATTATATTTTATAATTTATTTATATTTTGAAAATATAAATAATATAATAATTTCTGGGAAATAATATTATCTATTTATTAAAAGGATGGAAATATCTTGAATTATTATGATCCCTGCCGATCTCCATGAAAGGTTATACGGGGGAATAAGGATCCGTCCTATCAAGGTGGTACCCCTTAGAATATTAAGAATAAATAATTATATATTATATATAATATATATTCAATAATATCAAAATTTATATTTTAAATTTAAATTTCTTTAAATCAAAAATATATATATAAATATAATATTTAAAATATATTTTATTTATAAAATGATCAAATAAATATATATATATAATTAATATATATTAATATAATAATATCATAATTATAATTCCAAAATCAATTTTCAACAAACAAATCAAAAAATTAATAATATTAAATTTAAATATAAAATATTTAATATTTTAATTTTGCAAAATATATTTTATAAATATAATTATATTATTTTAATTAAATATAATTTTATTATATAATTAAATAAATTTAAAATATTATAGAATTATTATAATATAATATATATATATT